GAGTAAATGGATGACGGACCAAGGTTTAGGAGATAAGAAAAGACAAAAAAAGAGCTACAAAGGAGAAAATTTATTGAGTAAAAGGAAGTTTCACAGCACAAGAAGAAGAAGAATGAGTTTGAGAATAAATGGATGACGGACCAAGGTTTAGGAGAGAAAGAAAAAAGACAAAAATAAGTCTACAAAGGAAGGAAATTGTGGAGAGCCACAGCACATAGAAGAAGAAGAATGAGTTTGAGTAAATGGATGACGGACCAAGGTTTAGGAGAGATAAGAAAAAGACAAAATTTATTAAGAGCTACAAAGGAGAGGAAATTGTGGAGAGCCATGATCACCAATGTCCTGAAGTTTCACAGCACATAGAAGAAGAAGAATGAGTTTGAGTAAATGGATGACGGACCAAGGTTTAGGAGAGATAAGAAAAGACAAAATTTATTAAGAGCTACAAAGGAGAGGAAATTGTGGAGAGCCATGATCACCAATGTCCTGAAGTTTCACAGCACATAGAAGAAGTAAATGGAATGAGTTTGAGTAAGAAAAGACAAAATTTAAATGGATTGGGAGAGCCATGACGTTCACAAGGTTTTAAATGGAGAGAGGTTTAATAAAAAAAGACAAAATTTATTTCGAATTCAGGGAAATTGTGGAGAGCCATGATAGCCATCGCCCTGAAGGAACGCTACATGGAAGAAGAATGAGCTTGTGTAAATTTCAGGGTGTCAAAATTTTTTTTTCAACTTTACTCCTAGAGGCCGTAACCTAACATATCATACCATTCTGGGACTCAGGCCGACTCCGTGAGCAAATTAAAACCATTCCGGGGTGGATCCAGACCCGCAATCCCAAATTTTCATTATTGGAATTGTTTTCGGCATTTTTATATGATTTCTTGCGACGAAATTTTTTGTACGATACCAATTTTTATAATTTGGAAATAAATTTTGGAATAATTGAAATTAATTGCGAAATCCAACGAAATAAAAATAATTGTTTGTAGGGAAAGTAAGGACCTACGTACATCAGATTGTCTTTACATTATGTGGCCACAGAAGAATTATCGTTGAACGTTTCAAAGGTAAACTTAAATATTGATGCAACACTTAAATGCAGCGATCAATTTTGAGTTCTTCTGTAGTTTATTGTTTGATTATCGCATCTATTCTTCCTTACCTATTGTGATGAGGTCACAATGAAGAGTCCTCCACAGGAACTAGCTTAAATGTCGCCCGAAATAGCGGCTTTTAAGTTAGTATATATATATATATATATATATATATATATATAATTTACATTATTCGGACTATTGTCCTCATCTTTTTCGCCATATCTATCACAACGTTTTTGCCGTTGTACGCTCCGGCCTTCTTCAGGTGGTTGGAATTTCGAATTGAACCCTTTATTTCGCTCACTGGGGTAGACTGTTCTAATTCCACGTGCCATGTCTAATGGATGTCAGTTATCAGTTATCTCCTGCTTAATTCCCTCTGAAAGTTCTCCACTGCCTTAACCGGGTATTGAACTCACACTCTTTGGGTCCTGTCACTGGATCTAACCAACGCCTTTATCCACTGTGCCGTGTGTCCTTGAGGACACATGGCACAGTAGATAAACATCAAACATGCCATGTGGAACTAGAACAGTCTACCCCAGTGAGCGAAATAATTTCCAACCACCTGAAGAAGGCCGGAGTGTACAACGGCCGAAACGTTGTGATAGATATGGCGAAACAGATGAGGACAATAGTCCGAATAATGTAAATAATGTATATAATACCTCATCCCAGAAATATAGACATATATATATATATATATATATATATATATATATATATATATATATATATATATATATATATGCTCTCTATAAACGTGTTAATAAATATAGTATTTAACTTATATTAAATCCTTAAACTATTTGTTTAAAAAATTAAATATTTTAATTGATAGCAAACATCAAATAAATTTTTTTTAGGCATCTAAATTTCTATCCAGCATTAAAATCTATTCTTTACATAAATTGCTAAAACCCAATTACAACCTCTTTCTCTTTACTTCCCTCTCCCTCGCCCTCTTCTTTCTTTTTCCTTTTTCTTTTCTCCCTTCTCCCCTCCCATTACAATATATCACTTCCGTTAAGTTAACCGTCTAAATAGGTCAAGGTCTGGTCACTCCTTCCCCAATACAAAATATACTTCAGAGAGATATGAAATTAATCCCTCCCTATACTCTACCATCCATGTCTATTTAACTACCCCTTTTACACTCTCTGTTAAATTACAAAAACTTACACTACCCATCAATTTTAATTTCATTTTTCGTTTCATTTTTGGAAGTGCTATCTGATGATCCGGCGTCCTTTAAAAGGACTCTGGTGAAATAAATTATTATAATGGTACCTTAAAGTGGTCTGTTTTTTCTTTTTAATTATTAGCTCTGGATTTACATTGAGCTCTCAGGATTTCATCCTCCTTGGGATTACCCATACGGATTACCAAGTTCTTCATAACTTAGCTATATATATATATATATATATATATATATATATATATATATATACTTTTACTTACTCTGACACTAACTCAGGAAGTCAGTCAAGATATTTTATTGATGATGATGGAAGTAACTTTTTCCCCGAGAGTGGTTAACAGAATTTTTTTTACCGATCTATCATCGTACAAATCTATGAAGGTTAAAAGTGGTTGTGCGAGACCTAGAATTGACGGCCGGATCCAGAATGAGGAAATTTATTTTTGCTGTGTTTGTTATTGATTTTTTTTTTTTTTTTTTTGCAATTCACCCCAAGTAAGGTGGGAGTGCCACTAGCACACAAGGGGTTACAGAGGATTGAGAACAAGAGTAAAGAGGCGTGTTTGAGGAAAGGATAAGGAGATGGATGGGTACAAGCTCAGGGTGTCAGATGTCGATTGACATTACACTTGAATATTTGAAGATTATAGTTATAAGGGAAGCAAGTAAGAGGAAAGGAGTTTCACTGTTAGGAAGTGCAAGAGAAGAAGCTGTTGGAGTAGAAGAGGTAGTTACATTTAACTGTTTTGACAGTAAAAGGGTGGAACTGAGATGCTAACCTAATAGCATGCTTAAATTCATGCAGTAGAGACACTAGTGAAAATAGCTCATCAGAGGAGATGCCATGAAAATATTTATAGAAAAGACAGAGGGAGGCCACAGCAAGTCTGTGGGATAGAGATTGTAGACTAGATGCCAGATCAAGACCTATCATATTGCATATTCGTCTCTGGATTGTGTCGAGGACCTCTGGATTTTGTTGAGTTAAAGGGAGATAACTGAGACACCCGGAAGAGGTATGGCACATGGAACTAGAACAATCTACCCTAGTGGACGAACTAAAGGGTTCCGTTTGAAATACCAATCACCTGAAGAAGGCCGGAGCTTACAACGGCCGAAACGCTGTGAATATGGCAATAAAGATGAGGATAACAGTCCAAATAATGTAAATGATCATAACACCCCATTTCAGAGATATAGACAGATGTTAATCTCATATAATCACGGCCGGTCTACTCTCCGGCCTTCTTCAGGGAATTCCAAACTGAACCACGGTAACTTAGTGAATTAAAGCTTTAGGTCGTGGACTTAGCGACAGAATAATTGCGAGTTCAATCCCTGGGTCGAGTAGTATAGTTTTAGACTCCTCGGAAACCGGGCGAGCAATAAGTGTGGCGTACTTGATAAGCACAACACGGGATGAGAACAATCCAATGTTGTTGATTGAATAAAGAGTTCGTTTCGAAATTCCAATCACCTGAAGAAGGCCGGAGTGTATAACGGCCGAAACGATGTGAATATTGCAATGAAGATGAGAATACCAGTCCGAATAATGTAAATAATCATAATACCTCATCTCAGAGATATAGACAGATGATTAGCTCATATTATTACGACCGCTCTACGCTCCGACTTTCTTCAGGGAATTCCAAACTGAACCATGGAAACCTATAGTCTAAACGTTGGGTCGTTAACTTGGTGACAGAATAAATGCGAGTTTAGTCCCTTGGCCGGGTTTTAGAGAAAACCGGGAGAGCAATAAATGAGGCATACTTGATAAGAACAATATGGGATGAGAACAATCTAATGTCGTTGATTGAATAAAGGATTCGGTTCGAAATTCCAATCACCTGAAGAAGGCAGGAGCGTACAACAGCCGAAACGTCGTGCATATGTCAGTGAAGATGAATGTAAATAATCATAATACCTCATCTCAGAGATATAGACAGATATTTACCGGACTGGATGTTAATACTGTTTATTATATACTGTTTCTCTCTCTCTCGCTATTTTTCTTATCCTTTTTCTCTCTATTTCCTGTTATTGTCACTTCTCTTTCCTCTTCTATTCTCCTACAACCTTTCTTTCTTTTTTTTTGTGACCTTCTATGTCAGATTCTCCCAATACTTAAAATTCAACTCATCAAAATCACGAGCAAAAGAGGAAGGAAAAAAAAACCCAACTGAATAAATAAATAAAAATCCATGAAAAAATGAAGCCCCTTCAAGCAAGCGGCAATTTTGATCACGAACTTATCTTTAAGCTTTTTAGACGTTTATAATGTCTTTTCACTCACACGCCATGACGAATTTGAATAAATAAATAAAAATATTAATAATAACTCAAGTTTAAAGGGGATTTTGTCGAATACGGAGCGTGACCGGATCACATAAAAATGCCTTTTCTTTTGGCCATCTATAAAATCAAATCAAACTTGGAGTCTTTTTATAGCTGCAAGTGAAATAAAAGGGTTTCTAGTTATTAGATATTTACTTACCAAATTGATTTTTTGACTGGATTTATTGTACATTTGCATGTAAAACATTAAAGAGCAGGAAAGAAAAGAATAGGAAAATATTTTATCATAAAATCTGACATTATCGCCATGTATTACTAGACTTTTCTCTTTTTTAAATGCCTTATCCATTTAGGACAGTGGTTGCCAAACGGTGCGGTACGCCTCATAGGTGCGACGGAAGAAGATAGCAGGTGAGGCGGAAGAGGATAGCAGATAAGACAGAAGAGGATGGTAGGTGAAGCGGAAGAGGATGGCAGGTGAGGCGGAAGAGGATAGCAGGTGAGACGGCAGGGGATAGCAGGTGAGGCGGAAGAGGATAGAAGGGAGGTGGAAGTGGATAGCAGGCGAAACGGTTGAGGATAGCAGGTGAGGCGGAAGAGGATAGCAGGCGAAACGGATGAGGATAGCAGGTGAGGCGGAAGAGGATAGAAGGGAGGTGGAAGCGGATAGCAGGCGAAACGGATGAGTATAGCAGGTGAGGCGGAAGAGGATCGCAGGTGAGACGACAGAGGATAGCAGGTGAGGCGGAAGAGGATAGCAGGTGAGGGGGAAGAGGATAGCAGGTGAGGGGGAAGAGGATAGCAGGTGAAGCGGAAGAGGATGGCAGGTGAGGCGGATGAGGATAGTTGGTGAGGCGGAAGAGGATAGCAGGTGAGGCTGAAGAGGATTGTAGATGAAGCGGAAGAGGATAGTAGGTGAGGCGGAATGACTGAAAGACAAATATTTAGAAACGGTTTCAAAAAATTCAAATGCCCAAAATAAATATGATTTCAAAATTTAAAATATGATTATGGATTACTTGTAATTGTATGCTTGAGTGCCAGTATAAATAATTATAACTAATTATTGACCAATTTTATCATTGTGATATTTTTGCATTATATCAAGTATTAAGAATATAGTAAATAGTGTTTGCAAATTAGAGGAGAGAGTTATCAATGATCATGTTCTGATTTTGAATCTGGATAAAGGCGTTACATAGATCCAGTGACAGGACCCAAAGAGTTGTGAGTTCAATACCTGGTTAATGCGGAGGAGAACTTGGAGAGGGAAATTAACAGGAGATAACTGATAACTGACATCCATTAGACATGACACGTGGAACTAGAGGAGTCTACTCCAGTGAGCGAAATAAAGGGAGGTGGACGTTCGACGTTCCAACCACCTGAAGTTCAAACAATAACATCCCATCAGAAGGATTGTTTGATAAACAACCATTTCTTTTCTTTTTATGTGCCATGTCCTTTCAGGACGTAGGCGATCATGGCCCTCCACATCTCTCTATCCCTTGCAGCTCTCAACAAGTTCCTTCCCTCGCCTTCCTACCTCAGGCTACGTTTTGTTATCCACTTGCTTAAGGCCGCTAGGTAAGTCATGCGTTGTTTTCCCTTGTCTCTCTTTCCTTCTATTCGACCCGTGAGTATCAGATTCTCCAGGCCCTCTTTCCTCATTATGTGTCCCAGAAACTTCAGCTGCCTCTTGCTGATGTTAAGTATAAGCTTCCATGTTTAATGGATCTCAGATATCAGTTATCTCCTGTTAATTCCCCTCTCTAAGTTCTCCACTGCCTTAACTGGGTATTGAGCTCACACTCTTTGGGTCCTGTCACTGGATCTAACTAACGCGTTTATCCACTATGCCATGTCTCCTTGAATTTCTGGATATTATAAACCTAATGTCTTCAGCAACCATTTTTACCAGTGCTCATATTCCACTTTTTGTTGTTATCATTTCATGTTTTTATCAGAGCTCATATTGCAATTTTTGTTGTTGTTATTGTTTTCTCTGGCACTCCTTATTACTGGTTCGTATATTGTATTTATTTCTATGTTTGGTCGGCTCAGGACATTTTTGTGGACTAGCATATGTGCTGATTCCTTAAGCATGTGGAACTAGAACAGTCTACCCCAGTGAGCGAAATAAAGGGTTCAGTTCGGCATTCCAACTACCTGAAGAAGGCCGGAGCGTACAACGGCCGAAACGTTGTAATAAATATGGCGATAAAGATGAGGACAATAGTCCGAATAATGTAAATAGTGTACATAATACCTCATCTCAAAAATATAGACAGACAATGAAAACTTTGTATTCAAAATGTTCACACGTCTATGTGAAATTAGATTATAAAAAATGAGAAGCCTACTGCTTCTTGAGGCTCAAAACAATTTCGGAGGCCAGGTTGATCTACATGTGCGTACATACACACACATGCACCGGCGCACACGAACATAATGAAGAGACGAGCCAGCAAGCGTCGACTAAGGACTTGTCCACGCACACATTAGATGGGATTAACCAACAACCACCGACTAAGTCTTTTCTACGAACTTACAAACACATAAAGTAAGTCTGTTCGCACATTTCACATCGCATTAGGAACACTAATTACTTTATAAAACAAAGTTTACTGCAATGAAATCTGTACATTTTATTGTTATTGTAAATTTGTAAATAGAGTTTTAAAACAATTTAAGGAATATTATGGTGTTTATTTATTTATTTATACGGTATGTTTATGGACAATTATTTTCATTTTGCGAATATATCCATTTAAAGTTAACTGACCTGTAATAATCTTAAGAATCAGGCTAAACGATAAAAATGTGATAGTAGGCTTGAGTTTAAGTTCCTCTCTCCAAAGTACAAATAAAATTAAAGCGGCAAATATTTAGAGGAAGACATCAAAAAATACTTAGGAAAAAAGGGTTAAATTTAGGAACGTTAGATTACCTTCTCAGTTATCCATTGAAACTGCTATCCACCGAAAAAGCAAGAAAAGAAGCCAGTCTCCACCGTGGACCATTTAAAAGATAGTCCGCGCAGCGGATTGGTTGTTACAAACATCCAATCGGAAAACGTGGTTTTCTTCGTCTAATACATTAAAAAGGTCAGAGTAGCTGTTAGCGTTTGATTACGAGGGGGAATCAGGGACTGATCTCCCCTGATTGGGTCGACTTGGTGATGGGGTATATGATGTTGAAAGACACAAAACTCCCTGATGAACCAAGTCAAATTACATCACTGACGTTCTGCTTCTGATTTTCCTTCAGATAATAACCATTTTTTTTTATGTTTCATTTAAAAGATGTGTTGTTGTAATTAACTGTTTCGAATCCTAACACTCACATAACAACTAAGACCTCGGTAGATAGATCCCAATAGGTACATACCGGCGATGCTATTGTTGGGAGTAAGATTCAGGAGGATGAGATTTAAAGAACCGTATACCCTGAGTCTGTAATTGATTGCTTAAATGCTAATGTGCAAATTTGAACGACGTTCATGTGATCCTATTTTTGCATAGAATTGAGGTGATTTTGGTGTTATTTTACTTTTGCACAGAAATGATATATTAATGGTACTACTTAAATATATTGAATTTTTAACTGGGTTCTACACATATTCATGCGTAAGGGTATCGTACTTGCTCTCCTGTCCTGTGTTAGTGGGGAGGTTGGGTGAATAATCGCTCCATTTTTCAGGCAGAAAAAAAGAACATAATTCAATAGTTAGACCTTTATTGTAACATTAATGTTATTAAAACATGACAGCTCTTGTGTATACCCTTTATTAATTATTTAAATCAATTTCATTACACTATTTATAGGAAAAAACCGGATCACAGGAAGTTAAAGGATGGATTTATTAAACTCGGAAATTTTATTGCTTAATAAATATATTTCCCAATTCTCAATATCGATATGTACAAGGTAACCAAAAAAAGTTCTGTCCGTTTTTAAAGGAAAAAAGAAAACGCTTCACAGTATGTGTAACTTATATTTAGTCTTCGAAGTAATCGCCATCGGCATCCAGCACCTTCTGTCAACGTGTCTCCAGCTGTTCAATGCGGTAGAACTCGGTTGGGGGGGGGTGACGCAAGAAAGTCCGTGAGGGCTTTGCGCAAGTCTGCTTCATTGGTGAAGGATTTCCCACGAAGATGATTATCCAGGGAGTGGAAGAGGTGGTAATCGGATGGCGCAAGGTCAGGTGAATAAGGTGAATGGCACAAAGTCAAGTTGTTGTATGGTATCCCTGACCACTCGCGCGACATGCGGCCTAGCGTTGTCATGCAAGAAAAGCACACCTTTGCGATTCACCAGTGCTAGCTCCTTCTGGCGCAATGCCTGTTGCACACGTTTCAATTGCTGCGAGTATAGGTCTCCAGTGACCGTTTGGCCCGTTGGTAGCAGTTCATAATGAACCACTTGACCTGTCCATCAGACACAAAGCATAACCTTGCGTGGGTGCATAGGCAGTCTTGCGGTGTGAGGGACAGCATCCTGAGGAGACAACCAATGTCTGGAACGCTTGGGAGTTTCGTACAGAACCCACTTTTCATCACTGGTAAGCACTCGATTGAATAAGGATGCGGTACGGTGGCGAGAAAGCTGCGATATGCAGGCTGCCACTCGTTGTCTCTTGTGGACCTCCAACAGCGTTTGCGGAACCCACTTGCTCAGTTTGTACGTCTTACCTAGGCGGTGCAGGTGAAGTCTAACTGTTTCATCGGAAACGTTGAACTTGTCTTGCAAGTTCACCAAACGTTAGACTACTGTCCTCTTCAATGGCCGCCTTCAGGACTCCATCATTCAAGACCTGTGGTCGTCCACTGTGAGGCTCATCATGGAGAGACAAATCTCCCAACTTGAATTTTCAAAACCAACGCCTTGCAGTACGTTCATCCACAGCACTATCCCCAAACGCTTGTTGTATGCGGCAACTTGATGCAGCTGCTGATAAGCCCACATTGAAGTCGTAAAGCAAACAGCCCCGAACAAGATCTCTAGACACTTCCATCCTTCTCACAGCTGTCCAGCTTATAACTGATGGCCGGGCACGGTGCGCGTGTTTTTTATAACGTCTGATGTTCCTACTCCCGGCTGTTCGAATTTGAAAACAATTGCTACATGCATTTCGTATTCATTCAATGACTAATCAAAAAACGGACAGAACTTTTTTGGTTACCTTGTAGAAGGGAAACGACTATTAATCATTTTCTGGGTGTGATTTTGCATAGAATTGAAGTGATGTCGGTGTTATCTTTTGCACATAAATGTTATATTAATGGTATTAGGTAAACCTGTTGAATTTTTTCTACAATTTTTAACTGGGTTCTACACATATTTAAGTGTATGAACAACTTACGTTAAAAATGACTTTGTGCCACAGACTGCCTTAGTGGGCGTGGTCGGATAAATAATCACCCCATTTTTCGAGCGGGAAAACCTAAACAAACGGACAAAACTTATACAATAGATAGACCTCTTTTGAAACATTAAAGTTATCAAAATATGACAGATCTTGAGTATTCTCATTATCTTTTTTTATTGCAGACATATCAAACATCTTTCTTCAATGGAATCCAGACACTCAGATAGGAATTAAGGCCTGAGCAGACTGATTCCAATATATATGACTTTATTATATTTCTAAATATTAATAAACTATGAAAAAAAATGAATGACAAGAGAAACAAATATGGCCGACATATCAAATACCTTTTGTAAATAATTGTTATCAACACGAAATTGGTAACTTATTATCTATCATTCTGAGTGTACTTGCAATATTGCTGTTTCATGTAAGAGTTTTTTTTAAGCTGAGTAAAAATTCTGAAAACGTCTACTTGTGTATAATACGCACCCCCATTTTTGCCTATAGTTTTCATTCAAAATTCCTCATTTTAGGCGCACGAAAATACGGTAAAGGCCAGCTGACAGGGACCATATCTTGTAATGTTACAGACAAGTGATGTGATCAGCCTGGTGCACTTTTGATTAGGTTTGAGAAGACGTGGCATCCACCGAGCAGAAATCTTCGTCATGCCAAGTTCATTGTGCAGAATATTCTCAACACTTTCACGAGATATGAGAATAGCATTGGTGATTTGAATTTTACAGGTAGGTCCAACCTTAGCAAGGCCCGGGGACCACTCGAGGTAGAGATCTATGTTAGGAGGCTATTTGCGTGCATAGAAGTAAAAGGTAATGTTTAACTCTAAACTTGAATAAGGTTAATATTGTAGTAATCGGGAAAGCATCCTCTTGGGAGTCGATTCCACAGGGCAGTGGTTCATGGGAAGAAGCTGTTCGAGTGGAACTTACTTCCCACCGAGAAAATCAAATAATTGTCGGATTTTAATGAAACTTTCAGAACTTATTCACAAATGAATGAAAATATTTTAGTCATGTTAGACATTTTTTAGAAAGCCATGGTAAAAATATTTCTTTACATATGTTACCCACACTTAATTACTTTGATTAAAACTCAAGAAGTTTTGCAGAATATAAACCTTCATTTTTTATGGATACTCATATTGGGGATAATAATAATATATTGATGAGAGCAATGGTAATATATAGCTGGCACTAATAATAATATATTGATGAGAGTAATAGTAATATATAGAAAAGACTAATAATAATATAATGATGTGCGTAATAATAATAATAATAATATATATAGATGAGAGTAATGGCAAGATATTGATGGGATTAATAATAATATATTGATGAGAGTAATGATAATATATTGATGAGAGTAATAGTAATATACTGAAGGGAATAATAATAATATTTTGATGAGAGTAATAGTAATATATTGATGGGAGTAATAATAATTTATTGACGAGAGTAATAGTAATATATTGATGGGAATAATAAAAATATATTGATGAGAGTAATAGTAATATATTGATGGGAATAATAATAATTTATTGACGAGAGTAATAGTAATATATTGATGGGAATAATAAAAATATATTGATGAGAGTAATAGTAATGTATTGATGGGAATAATAATAATAATATATTGATGAGAGTAATAGTAATATACTGAAGGGAATAATAATAATATTGTGATGAGAGTAATAGTAATATATTGATGGGAGTAATAATAATTTATTGACGAAAGTAGCAGTAATATATTGATGTGAATAATAATAATATATTGATGAGAGTAATAGTAATATATTGATGGGAATAATAATAATTTATTGACGAGAGTAATAGTAATATACTGAAGGGAATAATAATAATATTTTGATGAGAGTAATAGTAATATATTGATGGGAGTAATAATAATTTATTGACGAGAGTAACAGTAATATATTGATGGGAATAATAATAATATATTGATGAGAGTAATAGTAATATATTGATGGGAGTAATAATAATATTTTTTCATGAGAGTAATAGTAATATATTGATGCGAGTAATAATAATTTATTGACGAGAGTAATAGTAATATATTGATGGGAATAATAATAATATATTGATGGGAATAATAATAATATATTGATGGGAATAATATTTATATATCGAAAAGAGTAATAATAATATATTGATGGGAGTAATAATAATGTTTTGGTGCTTTTAATTGGATGAGTTTTGGAAAATAATTCAGTACGGAAAATTAAGGTGAAAAGCGTCCACATGAAATCGTTGTATTACGAAAGACAGGTATAAAAATTGGTATCGTATCAATTCTTCCAAATGGAATCACAGAAACCAAGAAACGCAGAGCGAAAATATGAAACTCTTTGGTGTATTACGAGTCGGGGTCGTGATGGGAAGAATTGGTGAATTTTATCTTCCGGTTCTAGAAATAAAATATTGGGAGATAAAAAAACAAAAAAACAAATTTGAAGTAAATTGAGAATATGAATGAAAAAGAAATAAGCCGGAGAATGAAAGAAGGAGGAAAAAAATAGAAGGAAGATGGAGTGAAGGAAAAGAAAAAAAGAAGAAGGAAAATGAAAAAGAAAAATCGAATAAGAATCTGAGAGGAAGAGATGTGAGGGAACATCAAATTGGAGGGGGAGAAAATAGAGAAAAGAGAAACAGAAAAAGGATAAAAAAATGAAAGAAAAATGAAATGGATAAAAGAAAGAAAGAAAGAAAGAAAGAAAGAAAGAAAGAAAGAAAGAAAGAAAGTCAGGAATGAGAAATAATAAGTGAACAAGAAAGAGGAAGAAAAACGAGGGGGGGGGAAGAGAAAAATATAAAAGAAAGAAAATCAGGAAAGTGAAAGAATGACTGAAAAAGAAAGCGGAAGGAAAACAAGGAAGAAAGTGCGAAAGAAAGAAAGAAAAAAAGAAAGAAAAGAAGAAAGAAACTTAGAGAGTAAATAAAAAAGAAAGGTCTTCTGAAAAGAAAGAAAGAAAGAAAGTGCGAAAGAAAGAAAGAAAGAGAGGAAGATGTAGAATAGCTGAAAAAGAAAACTAGAGAAAAAAAAAGAAAGAAAGAAAATCAAGAATGAAAAAGAATGACCGAAAAAGAAAGAGGAAGAAAAGCAGATGAAAAAAATAAAAAAGAAAGAAAGAAAGAGAAAGAATAACGAGAGAGAAAGAAAGAAAACCAAAAAAGAGAAATAAGTGAAAAAGAAAGAGGAAGAAAAACAAGGAAGAATGAGAAAATATAAAAGAAAGAAAGAAAGAAAGGAAAGTGAAAGAATGACCGAAAAAGAAAGATGAGGAAAAAAATAAAGAAAAAGAGAGAAACGATAAAGAATGGCTGAGAAAGAAAACTAGAGAAAAAGGAAAGAAAGAAAATCAAGAAAAAGAATGATTAAAAAAGGCAGAGGAAAAAAAATGGAAAAAAGAGAATGAAAATCAGGAAAGAGAAAGAATAATTGAAAAAGAAAGAGGGAGAAAGAGAAAAATATAAAAGAAAGAAAAGAAAGAATGAATGAAAGACGGGAAAGTGAAAAAAATGACCTAAAATGAGAGATGAAGAAAAACGAGGAAAGCCATGAAAAGAAAACAAGTAAAAAAGAAAGAAAATAAAAAAAAAGAAAGAAAAAACGAGAAGAATGAGAAAAAATAAAAAAGAAAAAAGAAAAGAATTACGGATAAAAGAGGAAGAATGAGAAAATATAAAAGAAAAAAAGAAAAATAAAAAGAGGAAGAAAAACGAGGAAGAATGAGAAAAATATAAAAGAAAGAAAGAAAAAGAATTAGTGAAAAAGAAAGAGGAAGAAAAACGAGGAAGAATGAGAAAAATATAAAAGAAAGAAAGAAAAAGAATTAGTAAAAAAGAAAGAGGAAGAAAACGAGAAGAAAGAAAAATAAAAGAAAGAAAGAAAAAATATAAAAAAGAAAGAAAGAAAAAGAAAAAGAGAAAAAATATAAAAGAAAAGAAAGAAAAGAATAGAAAAAAAAAGAAAGAGGATAAAAAACGAGGAAGAATGAGAAAAATATAAAAGAAAGAAAGAAAAGAATGAGTAAAAAGAAAAGGAAGAAAAACGAGGAAAGAAAATAAAAAGAAAGAAAGAAAAGAAAGTAAAAAGAAAGAGGAAGAAAACGAGGAAGAAAGAAAAATATAAAAGAAAGAAAGAAAAAGAATTATGAAAAAAAAAAGGAAGAAAAACGAGGAAGAAAGAAAAATTAAAAGAAAGAAAGAAAAAAAAAAAAGAGGAAGAAAAACGAGGAAGAATGAGAAAAATATAAAAAGAAAGAAAGAAAAAATATAAAAGAAAAGAAGAAAAAGGAAAAAGAAAAATATAAAAGAAAGAAAGAAAAAGTGAAAAAGAAAGAGGAAGAAAAACGAGGAAGAATGAGAAAAATATAAAAGAAAGAAAGAAAAAGAATGAGTAAAAAAGAAAGAGGAAGAAAAACGAGGAAGAATGAGAAAAATATAAAAGAAAGAAAGAAAAAGAATGAGTAAAAAAGAAAGAGGAAGAAAAACGAGGAAGAAGAAAAATAAAAAAAAAGAAAAAAAAAAATTAGTGAAAAAGAAAGAGGAAGAAAAAAGGAAGAATGAGAAAATAAAAAAAAAAAAAAAAAAGAAAAAAAAGAGGAAGAAAACGAGAAAAATGAGAAAATATAAAAGAAAGAAAAAAAAGAATTAGTGAAAAGAAAAGAGGAAGAAAAACGAGGAAGAATGAGAAAAAAAAAAGAAAGAAAAAGAATGAGAAAAATAAGAAAAGAAAGAAAGAAAAAAATAAAAGAAAAGAAAGAAAAAGTGAATGAGTAAAAAAGAAAGAGGAAGAAAAACGAGGAAGAATGAGAAAATATAAAAGAAAGAAAAAGAAAAAGAAAAGAAAAGAAAAAAGAAAAACGAGGAAGAATGAGAAAATAAAAAGAAAGAAAGAAAAAGAATGAAAAAAAAGAAAAGAAAAACGAGAAGAAGAAAAAAATAAAAAGAAAGAAAGAAAAGATAGTAAAAAAAAAAAAGAAAAACGAAGAAAAAATAAAAGAAAGAAAGAAAAAAGAATGAGTAAAAAAAGAAAGAGGAAGAAAAACGAGGAAGAATGAGAAAATATAAAAGAAAGAAAGAAAAGAAACTGAAAAAGAAAGAGGAAGAAAAAAAAGAAAAAAAAGAATGAAAAGAAAGAGGAAGAAAAACGAGGAAGAATGAGAAAAATATAAAAGAAAGAAAGAAAGAACGAAATGATAAAAAAAGAGAAAGATAAAAAAAAAAAAACAAAAACTTAAATACAAAGAAAGAAAGTGAAAGACATAGAGAAAGAAAGACCGAAATGGAGAAAGTAGAAACAGAATGAGAGATGTAAGAAAGGCGGGGGGAGAATAGAAAGTGGAAGAGTAAGACAAGAGAAAATAGAAAAAGAAAGAAAGAAAGAAAGAAAGAAAGAAAAAAAGAATGAAAGAAAGAAAAGCAAACTGAAGTAAGTTGAAATATCGTATGAGATCGAATAATCCGTAAGAAAGATCATTGGAATGCAACTCAAGAGGCCAGCTTGATTTCGATTGTTTTTATTGGAAAAACAAGAGTTAAATGCAATTTTATGATTAGAAGGAGAAGAAGGAGGAGGAGGAGGGGAGGAGGAGGAGCGGGCGGAGGAGTGTTTCAGTTCAAGGAGATTATTGTATAAAGATGAAAACTATGGATTAAGAAGTCGAAGCCACACCCATCTCCGCCATAGAACAAAACAACAACAAAACAGCGCTTGAATTGCAACCGAAAAAAAAAAAAAAATGGGTAAAGAATTTCCTTGATCCGGATTAAATCTATGTTCGTCTGACTCAGCAAAGACGCCGATGCAATGCGTGCAAAATGTCTTTGCTCCCACCCACCCCTCTCTCTTCTTCCTCCTCCTCCTCTTCCTCCTCCGGTTCGGGGACAGAATGGTAGTGCTGTGCACACTTGCACCATCGATACGGCAGAACGCCAGTTCCATAAAAGGTCGCCGAGTGTACACGATAAACCTCGGACAAAAAAAGAAAAAGAAAAAAAAAAAAATATTTCTTTTGAACACGATGCGAGACGCAAACTGTAGAATAGAGTTATTTCCATCCAAAATCAAAAAATAAAAATTAAATTAAATAAAAAAAAAAACTATGTTAATAAATTTATTTTAAGAAATATCTGTTATAAAATCTATCGATTTGTTTAATTTCAATTTTTAACTAATTTCATGAAAAGGCGAGTGTAATTTTTATTTTATTAGATTGTGATTAAAAAAAAAAAAAGGTACCTTTTTTCCCCCGTTTTGTAACGAAAAACATCACCTTTATAGTGTGACTAAACAAGCCAATGTTACGTGTATTCATCTTGTAGCGCATCAGTTCGTTACGTTACCCTAACATTTTTTTTTGTCACTGTTGGCCCAAATTAAAAAATATGAAATTTCGGATCACTATGTGTCATAATTTAATTATTTTGGGAGATTCTTTTTTTCTTTTTGTTAAGAAAGTCCAGCTTTTTATGCATTTAATTTTGGAAAGAGGCAGATTTAAATCCGCCCTTTCTTTAAAAAAAAAAAAAAAAAATAATCTTTTTTTGAAACAAATATAAATTTTTGATGTTTTACCCCTTTTTTCTTTTGATCCTCGTTTTTTTTTCCTCTACCCGCCGTCTCTTGCCTGTCTTTTTCCACTTCATTCTTTGTAAAAATCTTATTCTTTAGTTTGAGAAAAAGAATGTCGCTCAGGCTGGGGATAATATTGAATTAAAAAAAGTAATTTTTTTTTTTTTTTTTTTTTTTTTTTTAATTTGACAATGACTCTTTTTCTTGCAAAAAAAAAAAAAAAAATGGCGACTTTCCCCCGCTTTCTTTTCGGTGTTCTGGGACAATACAAGCAATTGACTTTAAAGGTGGGTTGAGTATATCGCTCTCCGTAGAAGGACTTGTTTATTTGTCAAAATTTCTCTTTCAAAAGGACTGGTTACAAAGAAGAGAATAAAATAAACCCTAATTTAAAAGAACAAATAAAAAATATGAAAGAAAAAAATGTCATTTCAAATGTACATTATGGCAAAGATCAAAGTTATTTTAAAGAAAGCTCACGGGAGTGTTGACTAACTCATCGCTTATAACCGTGGGGCGGGTATCAAAAAGTAAAATATAAAAAAAAAAACCCAATAAAACATTAAAAAAGGTGTTGAAAGAGACTTAAAAGCTGTAAATCGGTTCATTTGGGTCTCTTTATTTGCGGGGGTTATGTGTAGATCCTTCCCGCCAAAACATGAAATTCCGGGGATGTCTCTGCTTAGGTCTAAATAGCTGTAGTTGCGTTCTGCGCATGCCTCAGTACTTACGCAACCATGACAGTTTACGCCATAATGTTTAAACGATTTCAAATTTCATTATTATTATTATTATTATTATTATTATTATTATTATTATTATTATTATTATTATTTCTTTGATGCCTGCACCCAAGCACCCACCCCAAGTATCCACTCAGACTGCCTTCGAGTGCAAGAAACGTTTTCAGCACTTATTTAAAATCAGCATTTTCGTCTTCGAAGTCATCACTTACATGGTTGTTTTTAGTTTGTTCGTGACTAGATTCTCTTCGCTTAGAGCCCATGGGCATTAACATGAATAGATCGACGAGAACAATATTTATAAAGTACAGAAATAGTTTTTGGTAAAAAAAAAAAAAAAAAATTGAGGAAGAAAATCATTGTCAAAAATAAAGTAATATTTTCATGAATATATAATAATAAAATTCTATTATAATTCTGCATGTCCGTCCCTTCCATAGTTTGCACGACCGTTACACCCTGCCGATACCTCATGAATAATAGAGTATTCTGTTTCGACCGCCGTAAAAACACGTAAATGGCATTTCAGAGATTCCACTTGGTTTCAGTGAGGAAATGAAAGAAAAAAAGAAGTGCTTAACGTCTGTTACAGTGAAATGGAAAAAGTTGTACATTTCACATTTTTTTCATTTGTATTTCTTAAAATAACAGCCTGTATTCATATTTATGAATTGTTATTGCACTATTTTATTAAAGTTGCTAAGCTCAAATATTTAATCATGTGATTAAGAATTAAAATTCATCAAAATATTATATCGTACCATTTTGGACTCAGGCAGAATCCGTGAGCCAAGGAAAAAAATTCCGGGACGGATTTAGACCCACAATGCTGAAATTTTAGTTCCACAGTTTTTCATTACTGCGATTGTTTTCGGCGATTTTTGACGTGATTTTTACGACGATTTTTTTTTTTTTTATACGATAACAATTTTTATAACAACAATAATTTGGGAATAATCGAAATTAATTGCGAAATCCAGCGAAAGTCACCCCTGAAATAAAAATAATTGATTGCACCGGAAAGAAAGACCTACGTACATCAAATTGTTTTTAAATTAAGTGGCAGCAGAAGAATTATCGTTGAACTTTGAAAAGGTAAGCTTAAATATTAATGCAATTCTTAAATGCAGCGATCATTTTTGAGTTCTTCTATAGTTTACTGTTGCCTATCGCATCTACTTCTCCCTACCTATTGTGATGAAGACCCAATCAAGAACCCTCCGCAGGAGCCGATAGAGCGGCTTTTAAGCTACTATATATATATATATATATATATATATATATATATATATATATATGTATATATATATATATATAATATTTTTTGTTTAAAAATATGAAATTTTAGGAATAAGCTATCTCTCGGTTTACATGTGTTTTTCGCTTGAGGATGAAACGGGACTAAACACCTCAATTCAACTTGATTTTAATAATTATTTGGATGGTTTCGGCTCTCGTTTTTGAAACATGAGAACTCTTATATAGCGAAGGAATCATATTTTTAAACAAAAAAATATTATTATTATAATAAAGCTCTACTTCCGTATGGAGCACTGTCTTCTTAAAAATAAAATACTAAGGAACTCCGGATTATGCACCCAACGTGTTCTTTTCTATTTTCTGCATACCTGCGCACTTACACACACACACACACACACACACACACACACACACACACATATATATATATATATATATATATATATATATATATATATAATCTCAATTTGACATTGAGTGTATATATTGATATTATCCAAATAAATGAATTTTGGGGATATTAATAGTATTACCACAAGTTGACATTAAAATTTTGTATTAAAAGCATTTTTAGCCTATATATATATATATATATATATATATATATATATATATATATATATATATATTATATGCATATATATTTTGTCATATATATATACATATATATATGTACATGCATATATATATATACATATATTATATATATTTTTATTATTATATATATATGCACCATAATAATCCAATTTGTACAAAATTACGTATGAAGATATTAAAATGCTGTTTTTTGTTTTCTTTTTATTTATTTATTTTTGTTGTTAGAATATTGTTTTAATTATTGCAAGGAGTGCGATTTTTTTTCGGCCTTCCCCCTGAGAAGTTCTCTGGGGTTTGGATGGCGTTTTTCTTCCTTTACCTGTATAGGGCATCCTGTCTGGTAATCTCCAACGATTCTGTTTATTTTCAAGGATCCTACACAAGACTAGTTTGGTGTCTAAATTTTAAAGACCACGTCAATCGTCATCTTTTTTCTCTAATAATGTCTTTTATTGTAGTCTCTCCTCAATGTTTTCTCTATGACTTTCCTCTACGTCTCAGTGACTTTATCGCCTTGTTTATCTACTCAGGTGTGTATTATCAATGTAAAGTAAATATAGATACTGTACATAAGTATCAGTTAACATCAGAACCTGTACAAACAGAAGTCATATATTTATTATCTTGCCTTACCACAGGTCCTGAGTAACGTCCTCTAAAGAATTGTACTAAACACAGATAATAATAATAATAATAATAATAATAATAATAATAATAATAATAATAATAATAATACAGTGGCTTAGCTAGAGTAAACGTCACCCGGGGCGGTCCGCTCAAATGTCACCCTAATGACCCCGATTCACCCTTATGCTGAATGGTTAGCTGTAGCTAAATTTTCATACATGCTCTCACTCTACTTTTTACTCTACTGACTGGTACGTTACTGTTTACATGTATGATCCAAGACAAAATCCAATACCACAAAATAATCAGTTCAATTCAAAAGATTTTTAAAATGTGACTGTTCACTTTCAGAACAACTAAATACAAAACACGGCAATACACAAAAGAATGACATTCAATACTATGGTCTTAAAATGAATGTTTTCTTGTTTTCATTGTGGCAAACTGGTCAAGGACATCGTCAAAATCTGTTTGTCTTGTAAGCTCGTTTTCAATGGACAGCACAGCCAGATCCGACAGTCTCGACTGGCTCATGGTTGACGTAATTTTCTGTTGCTAATTTTCCGGTGTCCAATTTTCCGTTGCATCATTTTCTAGGTACCATTTAATTATCAATGATGTTTGAAAGTATTTTTCTTGACAAAAATGTTCTATTTAATTTTTAAGTATTTTTCGGAA